GATAGAAGGAGAATTGATGCCTTTGAGCTGTGGTGCTGGAGAAGAATATTGAGGGTACCAAGGACTGCTAGGAAAACAAACAGATTCATTCTGGAAAGGTTTAAACCAGGGGGCTCCTTGGAGGCAAGTATTCTGAGGCTCTGTCTAACATACTTTGGACATGTTGTAAGGAGGGACGGGTCCTTGGAGAGGGACATCATACTTGAGAGGGTGGAGTGCCAGTGCAGGAGGGGAAGGCCCTTTATGAGGTGGATTGATTCAGTGACTGGGGTAACTGGGGTGGGAGTGTCAGAGGCAGTGCAATTGGCACAAGATAGAGCAGAGTTTAGAGCTGTTGTACATAAGTTCGCTATGAGTCACAAGCAACTCGATGGCACATAACAACAACAACAACAACAACATTGAATTGAAAAAGTTTGCTGTCAGGAACCTATCCAAAGTACTGAAGAACAATGCTGTCAGACTAAAACTAAAGTGCAACTGATTCAAGCCATCATCTTTCTAGTCACTTTCTGTGTATCTGAGATCTGGACAGTGAATAAGGATAAAAGAACAATCGATGCCTTTGAGTCATGGTGCTGGAGAGGAGTGCTGGATTCTCCATGCACTGCCAAAATAACAAACAGAGCTATCTTGGAGAAAGTTCACCTAGAGTGTTCTTTAGAGACAAGCATGGCGAAGTTTCGTCTCACATACTTGGGGCATACTGCTAGGAGAAGCTATTCCTTGAAAAAGGACATCACACTTGGAAACATGGAAGATTAGTGAGAGGACTGACACAATGGCTGAAGTAATGGGATCGATTATATCTGAAATGATAAGAGTTGCACAGGATAGGACAGGGTTCTGATCTGTTGTTCATTGGGTTACTATTAGTCATACTCTCCTCAAAAACATTTAACAACAACATAAAGTTGGTAGTCAAAGTCAGTTAAATGTTAGGGAAATCTCTACTATAATGTTTAATTTGGATTTTGAGTAATTGGCTTAAAGATTTCTTTTTTTGAGGGAGATCTGTTGGCCTAGTGGCAAGAAGCTGAACTACAATCCCAGATGTACGTAGTTTGAATCCACCAGATGCTCTGCTGGAGAAGGAGGGGCAATCTCCTCCTGTATCAGTGTGATCTAATTTGGTGGTACACACACACATAAAATAATAAAAAATAAGAAAAAATATTTCCTTTTTGATGGTAATTAGATTGAAGGCCAGTTGTGAGGATCACTCTTAACTTTTTTGTAATGAAATACATCACGTGAAGGTATATCTTTCTTTTGTCTTGAACACAGATAAAGAGAGAGGACATGCCAAGTGCATCAAAAGTATATCCCTCCACTCCTCATTTATCTGCATAGTTGTGTTCCACAGACCAGGTTGTTGTGTGAAAATAGAAACTTACCACATCAGATCACAAAACAGCAACTGACCACATCATCACGTAACTGAGAAAGTACATCACTGACACAGCATGTCACTGCCAGCATACATCACCTGCTAAGCCACTGAGAAGCACAGTTCAAGAAAGCATGACATATAATCTTAACCAGCACTGCAGGCATTGCACTTATTTCACTTATTTCATTATCCATTACTGGCATAAGAATATCATTAACCAAAAAAAAAATAAAATAAATAAATAAAAAAAAATAAAAAAAGAATATCATTAACACATAAAAAAGAATGTTGTTGTTAAGTGCTGTTGAGTCAAGTACAATCCATAGCAATCCTATGAACAAAAGATCTGAACCCTGTTCTAAAACAGATATTCTAATTATTGTTGTAAATATAAAACGTCAGATAATGATATAGTCTATTAAGTGAGGAGCAGGTGCAGAATGCTCTGGTTTCTCTTCAGATCGTATAAACCAACAGATGCAGAATCATATCAGAAAGATGTAAGTGAAATAGAAGAGTAGGCAAGAACCCATTTTATTCCATTCCATTCTTCAAGAAATCATCATTTAATAATGCAAAAGATAGTTCCACCCACACGGAGTGCCATGGTTACTGGAAGGCAGAATCTACATAAAGGAAAACAATCATCACTGGGGACACAGTTTGATGGCATGGAGCAGGTAGTGAAATGTCTTCTCTGGAACCTGAGGGTAGCACAAAGTTGCCCCTTAGAGAAGGTTCCACAATGCCCATCATCTAGATAACTGTGTTAAGTATTTAGGATTGTGAGCAAGTTTGAAACAAAGGTCTCTTCTGATTAAAAGGAAATTACATACTTGGAAGACTGTTTATGTTCTTCCAAGCTTTTCTTTAATGAAGTTTATAGTCCTTGGTTTTAGTCCTAGGTCTATGATCCACCTTGAGTTGGTTTTTGTATATGGAGTGAGGTGGGGATCTTGTTTAATTTTTCTGCAGATAGTTTTCCAATTTTGCCA